TTAGTACATGCTTTATGGCAGGTCTGGAACATCCAGATGTATAGGGTACATTCAGCAGCCTCGGGAAAGCACATGAACCCCCAGGGCTTGAGTGTGCTAAGAAATTTGTGGTATTAGTATATGAATCCTACAAATCAACTACAACCAGCTGACATAATGTTAAGCATGACTGTTCTTGTCTGTGTTGCGTGTGAAGTCATGTTACCATCCTCTTAATGAATATGCAGTATACCAGTAGTTTTCCAGTGTAGACAAGCCCATATTTTTGCACTAGCTAGGAATTCAACTGAAATCTGATACTATTTTATAAAAATAACCTAACTGCTTTAGAATTCAAGCTTCAGAAATAGAACTGGAATATTATTAAACCGTCCTGCTTTAGAATAGTCCCCATTAATTTATTTGCTAGACTGAATTGACAGCAAAAGACAGTGTTAGCTGTCTGTAAGCTCAGTATCTTTTAAACTTCCCTTTTTCTAGGACTTTTTATTGTTAATGTGAGAAGTTATTTCTGTTTGTTCTGGAGGGAAGGAGAAAATATCAGTTATAGATGCTTAATGATTTGAAATCTAATCCTTCTAAGCCTATACGTCATTATCATCAGACTAGCCTGTTGACCCATAAAGATGTTAGCTGGGGTGAGATGTGACCTCTTTTTGAGTACTGACCTACTTGTGGGCTCTTATGGATTTACGTAGCAATCCCGCTCCCACAGAAGTAGATCAGGAATCTTGCTACTCACTTTGATGGCAATGATGATGTCTATTGCTTATGAATGAACACATTGACATGTAAAGGCGGGACCTCTATTTTGGATGCATATGTTTCCTATAGACCCCAGCTCTCAGCTCAAGACCACCTCAGACGTCAGAGGCATTCACAGGTCTGAGCTCTGGGCCTGTTAGAGTCTTTCTGAAGACTTTAATGGGCTTTGGATCAGGCCTTTTCTGGAACAGTTCCATCTCTGTAATGGGTTGATCCAAGCTCTCTTCCTGGTTGCTGGAAAACTTCACAGCCAGCCTCTGTCACGTGGGTCCTTTGAACAATTCATGCTCTTTTTTGCCTTACATTTTGCCTTTCATGCATATGCCTGTGGATCAGCAGAGATCAGTGGGAGACCAGCACACCGAAGAAAATGCCCTTTTTGTCCATTTATTTGTCATATTGGCTGATTCCGTATAGACTATTAACCAGACAAATCTTTCACTGAATTCACGGCATGCTTAATTATACTGCTGGCTGCTTCTGCTTTCCATAGCTCTTTTGTACAGTTTCTTCTGTAAGTTAAATTTGTTCTCTCATGGGAGAGAGGAGAGAGAGAGAATTTAGTTGAAGTTATAAAACTGTCAGTATCTGGGCAAAAAAAAGGAAAACAATAAGGCTTGTCTAATCCTTTAGCCTATGTTATGCGTTGTGATGCCATATGGTGTGAATATATATACACTGTCTGTAGACACTATTGATTTTTTTTTCCATCACCCATTTTTAAAGTCTGATTTCCCTGTTTAGAATTTTTGTTAGCAATACGGGGTTGATTACCTCTCCTCACATACGGTGGCATCACCAATTTCTTGCCTTCTCTGGCAGAGGACTGGATTTGATGATGGGAAAATCATCTGCCAGTCATAGGTTTCTGAAACGGCTTGAAAAACTTGAAAGGGGTCTCTGACCTGTGCCGGACTTCCAACAAGCAGAGTCCAGTCGAAAGATACTGAACTGATCTGCAATGTCTTGTTCTTCCATATAACTGTAAGCGTTGTCTAGTAATCCCTTTGGAGCGAGGACCAACCATCTGTCTGTGTGCATGTACATTGTCTACACAATGCAGCCTCTGCTTTGACTGAGGTCTCTGGGCACAGTTATAACACCGATAATAAGCACAGCCCCAGGCTTCAGCAGGAACAGCAGTTTCTGCTCCTCCTTGGCTGGCGTGGTAGGCAAGCTCCCTCAAAACCTTTCTGACACAAGAGAAGTAGCAATGGGGAAGGGAAAAAGGGAGACCTCTGTGTGAAGGAAAGTTTCTCCTCTGAAAAGAGTTTAAAAAAAATCACTGCTTGTATTCTGAACTTGCTTTCCAAATGAAATGCCTCTGTGGTCGGTTGAGAAAACTGGGTAAATGTTACTGACTGGTCAGTAATTCAAGAAGCATTTTCTTTTTCATTAAAAAATGAAAACAGGTAGTTCTGTTAGGCCGGGGTGTTTTGTTTTACCAATAAGCTACCTCAAAGATGCCTTTCTGTCGATATTCCCCCGTCTCTGGGCTGTTAAGACGTATACCGGGTTACCCAGGCATCTGCACTGAGAAAGGGCAGTTGTCATGCGATTGCTTGGGGGTTATAATCTAAATGATTTGTATGTTTAATACAGCTAGTTGATGGATTTGTTTTCTGGTGAAAATTTCAACTTTTCATCAAAAACCCCAGTGAGTTTTCTGCTATAAAATTTTCTGTTTTCAGTTGGATTTTTTTAATTGAACATTTGAAACTTTCTGGGGAAAGCAGACACACTCAGCCAAAAAAAGGTTCATAAAAAAACACTATTTTCTGTCAAAATAAAAGTTTCGAAGGAAAATGTTTGTCAAGTCCTACCACTTAAAGCCTGAATTTTTTTCCTCGCTGTTTTCCTCCTGGAGTCCCGAATTCATTCTTTAAATCCTGCACTGCAAACACTTCTACTGGGCTGCAAGTGTCCATGCTGCATTATTGACTCTCTGATGGTTTAGCTAAAGAGTGTGAGGTGCTTCACATTTTCTGCTCGCAGAAAATACAGGGTGTACTGAAATGTCCATGCCCCTGACTGTGCCATTCTCATTGAAAGGGGTGACTTCAACAAGAAGGCTTATCAATTCAAAGTGGGAAAAGATTTTTAACTGCTTTTCACGCTGCTTTCAGAACAGAGTCACCTGTCTGTCTCCGAGCTGAGCTGGAGGTAGCAGGTGTCCATCCCGTCCTTCCGTTCGGATCCTAATGTGCTCTACTTTGAAAGTACTAGAGAGGCAGGTAATTAGGGTTCTCTCTTCCTTTCCAGCCTCACCCCAAACCTTTCTCTCATTTGACTTCCTCTAGAGCCAGAAATAACACACACATGCAGTACCAATGGGATTTCTCAAAGCTTGCATCTGTTGAATTCACAGTCCGTATGTACCGGTATCACATCCCTATGTACCATCTTTATTTCATAGATTTCATAGACATTTGGACTGGAAGGGACCTCAGAAGATCATCAAGTCCAGCCC